AAAATTTTTAAATTTTAAATTTTTAAATTTTTTTTTAAATTTTTGAACTATTAATGACATTTTAAAAAATACTTTATCTTAAATTTTTAAATTTTTGAACTATTAATGATATAAAAAATAAAAATAATTTTAAAAATTCAAGTTGTATATGATTTTTACCTAGCAATATTTTTCTTTCTCTTTTATTTTATTTTTTTTTTACAAAATTAGAGATCTCTTTTATTTTATTTTTTTTTTGTTCCATCTTGTTCATCTATCTTTACATTTCAGTTCAGTTATGTGCCATGTGGGATATGTACTTAGATGATCATGTATCTTTCAATACATGACTGACGAGACAGATTTTTTTCCCTCAGTAGGTTGCCATTTCTTTCTGCAGTAGACCAGTTGACATCCAAGGCTATAGAACCCAGTCTGTCCTTCTATTTACCTATAGCTTGGGGGATAAGAAGATGATTTGTACCTTTCCCAAGGGTATTAACATAGACTTCAAAAAAGTTCTTCACCTAAGAAGCCTTTCCCACAAAAAATGATCTTTGTTCATTTGTATGGAACAGAATAATTTGACTTATTATTTAATTATGGTTTATGAGATGAGAAAATATGAAATAAATGTTACTTACAAAATCTGACATCTAACCATATTGTATCTAAAATTGATAACCAATCTATATTAAGTGACTTCAATGTGCCTTGGCTGTTGTGTTCAGTTAATGAAAGATTAAATTGTCACAAAATATTATATTTGCCCTAACATGGTGTTGCCATGATTAAAATAATTTCCAAGTTTCTACTTAAAATCTTCCTAATCATAATTTAATACACCCATTAATTAAGCAATAGATTAAGCAATAATAAATAAATTAAGATGTTTACTTTTCAGCTTTGTTGTTCTTTTCTTTCACAACAGATTTTTAAGAAATAAAGATGATCCACTCTTTTAACGATGAAAGATCATGTTCATTGGAATCTTCATGTTAACAACTTTTTTTAAAATGATGTTCACCCTGTACAATGCCCAAGAGCCACTCGAGGTAGAAAGTTACAGTGTAAGAGGTACAGTTTATGCTGAATATTTAGGGAAGATAATGATTGACCTCAGACTTTAATAGGTTAAGATTGTAATGATCAAAAAAGGCTCCTCTTAGCTTCCACCAAGCAGCAGTTCGCAAAAGGAAGTTGCTCAAGTGGAATTTACATCTCACAAAACAATATGAAGGGAATGAAGGTGGTTTGCTACAATATGAGTGGCATGTCAGGTTTTAGCTGTAGAACTTTAGAACTGGGGGGGGGACTAAGGAATATAGTTTGTCCGAACACTTTCCATAGAAATAGCAATAGAGCAGTGAGAAACTTATGACGTCTTGTCTGTGGGAAAGGGATTGCAGGCTAGAAAATAATTTGTCATCCACAAGGACGCTTGAGGATTCTATCGAAACTGGAAAAGTGAAAACTCGTTAGCTCCTGCTTATATATGGCAGCATTAATCCATTTTCAACCTGACCTGGCTCCTGTAAAGGTAAAGGATAGCAGGAGGGGGCAGGTGTCTACTTGACTAGTACAGGGAACCAACCATTTTTACAGCTTCTTTAGCAATGAATCGTATTTACTTGTTCCACTTGAGGTTTGGGTTAAGTGCCAATATATGCTCAGTGTGCATGGTCTTTCTGTGGGAATATCTGTTGATTGTGATTGGAGAAAATTCTATGTCTGCTCAATGTTTGAACTTTAATTTCAGTACTTCAGTTGATTAAAGTTAAAAATGAATCTATTCTTAAAGGTTTTACAGGTCACAGCAAACATTAGGGAATTGTAACTCAGGTTTAAGCAAGGCAGATAAGCTATTGTTTAGCAGAAGATGATGATATGCCTGTTTCTTTTTTTTACTTAGCACAGAAACATTCTAAAAAAACTAGTCTTGAAGTTGTGTTAAGGTAGGCAAACTTTATCTTAAAAGAAAAACTAAAATATCTCTTGGATCATTGCCATTGCCACTGAGCTGAATAATCTGCCACTAAAGTAAAAGAAACAAATTAATGCAATAGATCAAAGAATTGGAAATTGGTATACAGCAGCATGGCAGCATACATATGTATTGTGTCTTTTTGAGGAGTTCAAATTTTTTTTTTTTTTATCAAAGCTCAGATGACAGTGATTGAATGATAGACTGTTTGCTACAATCTTATTAATAAGAGAGAAAAGGAAAATTTTTATACTTGGCAGTTTAAAAAAAAATTCACAATGATCTGTGTGTTGTACAATAAATGCTTATTAAATTTCATGTTATTAAAGAGCTATCAACTAAGCGGTTCAAGTTAGTTCTGAATTTTGTTTTAGAAATATACAGAGAAAACCCTATCTATATACTAATTTCTTACTTCCATCTAAGAAAGTTATCATGATTTCTATACTCCTGCACTTTTCCGAAGCACATTACTCTCATAAGTTACTTTCATTACTACTCCTGGATCCCTAAATGATTCTTTCATTATGGTAAAATATTTATGCCATTCAGTTAAAATACGCCTGAAAACCAAACGGCTCATAAATTTCTTTTTTTTTTTTATCTTACTATGGTCAATATTTAACGAAATACCTGAGTAGTATAAAATACAAAAGATAGCTTATTTACTATTTATGTTCAGAGTAATGTCCTCATCTTTAGTGTTATCATCACATTTCAGCCATTCTACTCTCCGGCCTTTTTCAGGTGCTTCTTGACCTGTGAACTGCATAATATTCAGAGAAATTTGAACTGAACTCTTTATTTAATCTTTGGGATCATGTTGTTCATATTCTATTGTCCATATCCAGAGATATCTTGTTTTGTTCTTATTTTTAATACAGCTTACTTATTATTGCTACTCTTATTTCCATTCAGTCTATATTACTTGGCTCAGGGATTGAAATCACAGTTCCCAGATATTATCTTATCAAATTCACAAACTAAAACTGAAGTAAAAAGCATTATGAAAGTATAAAAACAGGATTTAATACCAGAAATACTTTGTAAAAAAATTATTGCCAGAAATAAATTTTTGAAGAAAAAAAAAACTATTACCAGTAATATATTTTTAAAAAAAAATATCAGTAATACATTTTTGAAAAAAAAAAAAAGATTACCAGCAATACATTTTTTAAAATGATATTACCAGTTATACATTTTTGAGGAAGAAAATATTACCAGAAATAGATTTTTAACAAAACAAAATGTTACCAGGAAAAAAAAGTTGTTGGCATTAAATAACCGATTGAGGTTGATTTGCTGTAAAACAAACCAAACAAAAGCAAATTCACAAAGCAATGCTTTAATTCACTAGGCTATTATTCCATGGACAGAAAGAAAGGCTAGAGTAACAAAAATATGAAGTCTTTAAAGATTTAAACTAATAATGTATTTACAAATATCTACAAATTCACCAAAAAATATTTGCTATTATAATTGTGCATATTCATGTCTTCATTAGTTCATACAACAATTACGCTCGGCCAATTCATAATAAATAATAAACTATTCTGTTTTGATTTAGTGGAAAGAATGGAAAAGACACTACTTGGTTTCAATGAGAAAATGAATGAAGAAAAGAAAAAAAGGGAGGATAGAAATGTTCAATGAAATGGAAAAGTTGTCAATTTGAAATTTTTCATTTGTATCATTTCTTAAAATACCAACCAGCATTTACATCTATATTTATTATTGTTATTGCAATATTTTGTTAAAGTTTTTTAAGCTCATATATTTAACAATACAATTAGGCCTTATAGGGGAACTTCTATGGATATCTTATTGTTGTGGAACTTGCCATGAGCTTATTCGATCATTAACTTAAGAATTAAAATTCCTCAGAATATTAAAATAGGAAAAGCATGAAAGTTTCATGGGTTAAAACTAATAATTGCCTTTAATTCTTTGAAGTATCCTGAGTTGAAATTTCATCCTATTTTTGAAGTGTTTGCGTTTATATAATAGGTGATTTATAATACCATTTTATGTTCATGAGTACAGAGGTTTCTATAATCACACATCATTTTGTTAAGTACCCAAGCTGATCAACTGATATTACAATGGTTCAAAGTGGAAGAAAAAGAAAAAAAAATGTCTCAAAGAATTAATATTAAAATATATAGGAACCATTATATATTTGGTTCTATATTGCAAAGAGGTACAATGAAATTTTCACAGATCCTACAAGTTAACATTATTAAATTTTTTTTCTGTAGCATATCCTATCAGGATATTGTCAATCATGGCTCTCCACAATTTCTTCTCCTTTGTAGCTCTTAATAATTTTTTAAGATTTTTATTATCTCTTTTAAACCCTTTTCTGCCATCCATTTACTCAAGCTTACTAGGGTAGGTTACGAGTTGTTTTCCTCACTGTCCCATTTTCCTCACTATGTTTCCTAAAAATTTAAACCATTTCTTCCTGTTGTTAAGTGTAAGTGTCCTTTTTGATTCCATTTTCTCCAAAACTTTGTTGTTGCTCACATATTCAGTATGTGGTATTCTCAGCATCCTCCTGTAGAACTACATTTCCATTGCTTCAATGAAAAAATATTATCACCTATATGTTTTTGAAAAAATAATATTACCAGCTATATGTTTTTGAGGAAAAAAATATTAACAGAAATAGTTTTTTGACAAAACAAAAATATTACCAGAAAAAAAAAGTTATCGGCATTAAATGACCCATTGAGGTTGATATGCCATAAAACAAACCAAACCATTGCTTCAACTCTGTTCATCTGTGAAGAGATTTTCCAGCATGCACTGCCATATAGGAGGACATATTCCATGGCAGTTCAGTATACTTTTCTTTGTTTCAAATTAAATTTTTATGTTTCTTTATACTTTGCTTAGTTTTTGGAAGGCATCTTTCACCATTCCAGTGTGTCTTTGGATTTCATTGGTGTGCTTTCCCTGCTAAATTTACATTTTGCATAATTACCTTCTTTTAGTCACATTTTTACTAATTCTTCTTTTCATCCTCTTCTTTTAGAGAGGTCAGCACATTGATCCATTCCTGCAGTCTTTCTTGCAGTCAACAGAAGCTCCAAAGCCAAGACCAATGTAAGTACCGTTCAATAATTCTTTACATTACTGTCTCTACTTCAGTGATGCAAAACCATTTCTCTTAAATATCACAAATAGTTGACATCTCCCTTGTAGCGTGTCTGGAATATTTCAGTGTTCCCTTTCATAAACTCCAATGTGTTATTCTCTGCCTTTTTAATACTGGTATTTTTTTTTATTTTCATGTCAGTTGATTTTTTTTTTCTATCATATAAATCATACGATATACTTATAATATATAGTTCCCTGGCACTGGAGTTCACTGTTGGTTGGAAATAAGAGTAGTCTATGCTCTCCTCATTTTAGATGGAAGACAGTGCCTGGTTCCAGGGATTCCAATCCTGCTGTAACATCATCCTCATTACACTAAGAGAGATGGGGTTGGTGCAATATTGATGCCAGTATAATAGTAGTGATGGGGAATGGGGAATTTTTGTTCTTGGCCAATATACATATGTATGTGTATGGGCTCTCCATGTAAAATACAACTGTGTGTTACATAATGCCTTATTTGGGATGCTGGTATATATATATATATATATATATATATATATATATATATATATATATATATATATATATATACGTAAATATTTTTACATAACTTCATTCACTACTGAGATATATAGTAACAAAAAAATAATCATCAACAGCATTATAATAAAAAGTTTTACTAAATCTGCAAAATACTTTGATGAATTTTTGCATTTAGTCTTGAATAATTTCAATCTTTTTCTCTTCTTATCTCAATATTCCTTTTTCCATTATTTATTCATTTATACCATTTTTCCTTTTCCCATATCTTTTTCACATTCTTTTATACCATTGCCTAAATCATTTTGTAATAAACAGGTTCTTGAGATAGTCAGTTAAAATATTTTTCAATATCTTCAGAAAGGAGACAGTGATGACTTTTCATAGCTTTCTTTTCTTTAATGTGTTGGTTTCTGGAAGCTTTTGATTTTTTTTTTCCAATTGGGATGCTACCTAATAAAAAATATAGCAAAGTTTAACCAAAACAAAAAAAACTATGGTGGCATTTGACATCTGGCTTTAGGAAGACATTTAAAACTATATGGCATGTGAAGTAGACATTTTTCAAAAAGTAGGAATGGAACTTAATGCCAGTCAAAAAAAAAAAAACTCTGTATTTTAAGAGTGTTGGTTTCAATCTTGGCAAATGACTACTAAAAATTTCCTCTCTCCAGATTTATAAACAAATCCTACAGATGCATGCTGGGATTACTTCTTAGCCAATAAAAATGAGACAATTATTTGTCTTACTCATGCATTTTTCTTTCTTACCTTGAAGTCAAAAGGTTATAAGCGCTTGACTGTATCTTTTTTCTATGTGAACACTTTTTCTATTTTGTGAATTTTTTCTTTGTTACTGTCTTTATAGTTGCTTTGCTTTACCTTGTTGCCTATTATTTTAGCTTTACTTTTTTTTTTCTCTTATTTCTATTGACAAATTTGTCAATTCCACTTAACCAATGTCTACTTTCTTGCAAAAAGAGCTTCTATACGTGTCCCTATCACATGTCAACCATTAATAAAAAACAGCAATTAAAGATAACCAAATACTGTATTAGCACAGTCAGTGCAGTCATCAGTTTTCTCTTTTGAATAAGAAAGAGTTAATATCTCAAGACATTAATAGCCTAGACAGTATATGCTAGTTTGAACATCTCATGTCTAATGTAAGTGCAAACCACATAGGGGCAACCTTTTCTGAACAGTGGGCCTCATGAGATATAGTTCATCAAGGTCAAGTGACCCAAAACATGCATCAGCTACAGGCCCTAATAACTCTACCCTTCTTCTAAGTCGCTTCCCTTGCCCACAAAGAGACATTTGCTCACATCCTCAGTATTGAAAATACAAAGAATTTTTTTTATTACCAACTCTTATCTTCTTTTCATTTCACCTCATCAGTAGTACTTGTTTCATTTGTTCTATGCTACTATACATGAGTTTATAATAAAATGAAAAAAACAGTCAAGTTTATCTTAGTTCCAGTTGGGAATGAGTTCTACCCCCGAATTATAGGCAATTCCTACAAATACATGCCGAGATTTCTTCCTAGCCAATAAAAAAATGGACAATTGTCAGTCTTACCTACACATTTCTTCTATCTTGCATTGGACTCAGAAGACAATAATCACTTGACTGTATCCCATTTGCATATGAGCAATGTTTATATTTTGTGAACATTTTTCTTTGTTACTGTCTTATTAAAATTACTTTGCATTGTCTTTTGTTGTTTTGTCTCATATTATTTCTTGCTACTGTTCATCGTATTGTTATTGAGAATTTTATCAATTTCACTTAATCGTACCTGCTTCCTCAACAATATGCATGAATTACCATGAATATTTGTGAAATATAGTAGCATGGTTTGTATTCTCCACAGTTTAGAATTTGGAGTTTTTCCTTTTCTTACATTAGCTGCTATCCAAGTTTATCTTACACTGTTTAACCCATAGCTGGGAGAAGAATTAATGGATTCATGCCTTTCCCAACAGTGTTAATGAGAAGTGACAATGACAGTTGTAATATAATCTGATTTTGACATAATGTAATAAAATTCTGAATTTTTATAAGCTACTGGAATGATGCAAAAAACTTCCAACTTGGAATTCTGTGTTTGTGCTTTTGAATTTTCCCTTTATTTGAAATTAGAATTAAGAGAGAATGAGATGATGAAAGGATGAGATTTCTTCATCTGTCAACCACGGAATCCATTTTGTCTGACTACATGCAACTTCATTCATATTTATATGTAACCTGATAACATGCTTTGCTTTCACTTGACCACTTATAAAACTGAAATATTCTTTTAAATACAATACTGTAGTTTGGTTTGTTTCTTTAATGGCATATGAACATCCTTATGGGTCATTTAATGCTGAAATTTAATTTTCTTGGGAGTTTTGTAGTAACAAAAATATGGCATATGTTATTCTGATTTCATAGTTGAATACATGGTAGAGGATACTCAGCTTTTGGGCATATACATGTTTGTGTGCACATGATTACTAGAGGCAGTGATGTGTGTTTTATGTTGTAGTTAAAGTCATATTTTGGAATACAGTATAATTTCTGTAATAAATTGTAGCATATTATATGGATTAATGTCATGAAACGGTTCTTTCATGTTCATTGATGTATTGTTGGTAATTTTACTATAAATAGATATTTTTAGTAATTTTTTATATAAAAATGTATTGCTGATATTTTTACTATAAAAATGTATTTTTATACTTTCATAGTATTTTGTTTGGTGGGGGATAACTATTTGCCCATAGCTGAAACCCTAACAGGTGCTACTACCCTGGATCAGGGTGTACCTAGGAACAAGAGCAATTAAGAGGTGACTCCATGCTCCTCAAAACCTCCAATCTCTCAAACAGAGACCTTGCTGCCAGATGCAGTTTATCATCATACCCAGGACTAGAAATACTGAGTTTCTGCAATCAAGCCAGACTGTTGAATATATTACAATTTTCTTTCTTTCTCATCACCCTTTCAATAAAAAAGGGAAAAATTAATATACTTATTCATTGATTGCACATATTTCTTTCTAGATGTGTTCCTTTCTTCTCTTTATTTATTGAAACATGCTTTGTCACCAAAAAAAAAAAAAACATATTTCTAAATAAAGCAGGTATAAAATGAGAACTCACATTTATTTAAGCTTTATTAGATAACTGAATTATTACTAGTTGAATGTTGACCAAATACAAAATCCTTGAATTGTCTAACCAATAAAAAGTTTAAGAGTCAAATATTGACTAGATTTTATAAGCTTTTCAATAAAGTGTATGAATACACAAGATAAATATATCTTTAAATTCACAATTAGAACAAGTCATTTTATTTTTCAATCCAGCAATAAATTTTAAATTAAGATATTCGTGTAAAAACACCTGCAAGCACTGTACAATGCATGAAGATAAAATTTCTCCTGAAGGAATGTCATTTCTAAAAACTCTTTGGCTTGAGGATACTTTGGCGGAGATAATTTGTCTACTTCCAAGCAGAGATAATTAAGTCAGATTATCTAGAAAAAATATGTAGATGTTTGTTAAGCTTAGTTTAGTCAGGCATAAGGCTAAGATAAACAGATACTTAGTGAAGACCAAACTCACTAGTAACTGACATATCTATAAGTCTACCATTTACCCATGCTTAGAACATTGCAGCCACATATGGTCTGGTGTTCCTGGTATCTATCTAGAGCTCCTTGACAAAATTTAAAGAAGACTCAGCAATATCATTGGGCCCCGATCTGGCATCTCAGCTCCAATTACTTCCCCACTGCCATAAGGTTGCCTCCCTTTGCCCTTTCTATAAATACTTTCATGGTAATTGTTCGGATGAGCTTTTTACTATGGTGCTTAAACTCTTCAAATTTAAGCACGGTATTAAACTGGCAATGACGTCTCACCAATTTATAGGTGAGCTTGCTAGGTGTAATCATAAGTTCTATGCTAACAGTTTCTTTTCTTGCACTTCTCTCTTGTGGAACTCTCTTCAGGCTCCATGCTTTCCAGACAACTTTAATCTGCAAAAATTTAAATGCAGTATCAATCGCTATCTGCCATCCTCTTGATTAATCTTCCTCTGTTCTCACTTCTTAGCAATGTTCCTGTTTCTAACTCTTCCACACCTTTTTATATATATATATATAATTTTAAGACATTTTAATGTTTATACATTCTTTTTATAGATACAAATATTTAAGTAAATACTCTGTTTATAATAAACAGTATTAATAACATTTACCAGTGTGAATGTCCGAGAAATTTTCCTTAACTGATTGAGCCAGAGATGAGTGTTTGATTAGCAAGGTTGATTTTACTGCTTTTAAACTACAATCTTCCATGAATCTCTCACGTACATTCATATCTGCTCAAAGCATATCCAAATGTAAACAAATGAAGTCACACATTATGAAATGGACAAAGTCCGACAATTATTTTTAAGACATTTTT